ATACCCTAGCTTTACTTTACTGTATATGCAAACGCGCTGATTGACTTAAAGGTGAGATAGGCAGGAATCTGTTAAAGAAGCTTTTTTTTGTGGTGTAAATACAAAAAAGCTTTTAATATCAGTCAATAGCTTTTAGTTATTGATGACATTTGGGAATAACATGATTTCGCTGTGTTCTCTTATGATTGTGTAATTGACATTTTAAATTATTGAGCGGCCCGCTCTTTCTGACTGTAAACAAAGCCGTTCTCCAAAGCCGCGTGGTATAATATCAGACAGTAGAAACCAACCAGACTCTGGCGGAATAGTGGGCGCTTAAAACGGAGGTAGACCGGACAAGAGCTAAAAACGGCGGGTCAACAATGAGCGTGTTGTAGCGCCGCTAAACTGTGACCTCAGGTCCTGGACTATGTCACTTTATCCTCGTTGTAGAAGTCCTGCAAACATTGTGTTTGCTGGTAGTCTGTTGGCATCTACAGTAGCACCAGTGCTTTTTACTTTCACCTTGACTGGGCCCCATTTTTTATTATCTGAAGTATTTATCTGCATTATATCTGAATTTAATTGGAACGATACGAGCGAGCAGGAGCGTCTGTTTGTGGGCGGGGCTTGCTGGAGCGGAGAGGGAGGGGAGAGGAGGAGCTGAGGGGAAAACTGGTTGGGAGGGGTAGAGTTTACGTTCAAGATTTCTCCCAAAAACTGGAACTTCCTCAGATCCTGACTACTTCACCTTTAATCGGAGAGAGATTGGCGCTCAACACGGACGCACATCCTTGACAGAGTCTTTGTCTGTCTCTAATCTATTTGCAGAACCTTTATCTATATCTGAGCTAACATAACTGGGGCGTGTCTAGATCTTTCCAAGCTAATATAAAGATAATTATCCACAATTATAGGATTAAATGGTCTAACTATATCTCACAATTCTGGTTTATTATTTATTTATGATGGCTCAACATGTGGTACTGGTACATCATATATTTAGAGCCTCATTCTCATCAGCTCGCTCTCATTTATACAGCGCAAAGATGGAGATGGGTGTTCTTTCATTGACTTTATTTATAATATGCTTGAATTTAGTGTAGAGAACTTTAAAAGCCCTGCCAAGTTTTTTTCTTTATTTGTATATTTAAGCCTTCTTGGTTCTCTAAAATGAGGTCTTACATGTTTAAAATTAATCCCTCCTCTTATAACACTCCAGTGAGCTAAAACTGATAGTCCTTTCCTTGACCACAATCACTGTTTCCTCTTAAATGAAGCATAAAGGGCAGAGCCACAATAATGAATGATTGACTCTTCTTATAATTAAAGACCACTTAGCCTAATAAAGTTATAATCCATCCTGAAAGCAGTCGGTTAGTGTCCGTGAATAAATGTTAAGAGCACATACGGAAATGAGTTTTTCATTTGTTCAAATAAACAGAAGCACCACTTTGGCAGGAAAAGAGCAGCAGCTGCACGGAGAGAAACTTTATCGACAGAGGAAAAAAGGAAGCGAGGAGACGTCGCTGTATCACCCGCGGTGATTGACAGGTGATCTCTGGCTGCCAGGAGCGGCGCAGAAACACCACGGCAATGATTGATTCACACCACAGATGGTGACAACGGAAAATAAATTAGCTCGAGTACAGTATTACCATAATCAGACCACAAATCATCTATTCACTCATCGGAGCCCACAAAGCATCAAAAGGACTGTGCGGTTGAATTTTTTATTAAATCAATCCAGCTATTCTCTTTGTTCTGAATAAATCCTGACGATGATGCTCAGACAACCTGAAACCAAGTGCAATTTTCAGGGTGCAAAAATAGATCCCGAGCTTGTTTTAAAAGTGCATTAATCTGCAGAAATCAATGAGGGTGGTACTAATTATCCGTCCTCAGGCCTGTCCGCCCTCTCCCTGATGGGAGCTCGTTGAGGGCAGCAGCCGACGCAGCTCCTCCGCCTCCTCGGGCTCATGTTTCAGCGCTGTGTTTACCTTTGGACTCTACTACGCTGTGACAAATCGCAGGCCGAGAGTGCATTATAAGAGTTATTGGGTTATATGCAGGTAAAATATAAGGCTGTTTCCTTCCCGGAGAATCTCAGAGGTGTCATCTGCTGAGAGTGGAAAACAGAGCTCCTGCTACCTAACAGGCCTTCTTAGTGCTTCAGGCTAATGTCTGCTGATGCTCGCTGGGGAACTGTGGCGTGGTTCCCATTTATATCAGGGGAATCTAATATTGATGCTTTCTAATCCTGTTCAGAGTAGGACCTGGAGAAGACAAATCCAGGTGGTTTCTCAATTAGATACATCAAGCCCAGTTCTGGTTTGAATTATTTCGGCTCCAAGATTCAAATTAGAGATGAGCTGTGATTTATTTTTTGTTTTGCAGCACAAACTTAAAGCATTATATTCGATATCTTGCCAGTTCCAGTAGCAGCAGCGCTCGTTTGGCTAAAGAGTCCCAAAAAAAGGTACACTGTAAAAACTCTTGGGTTATTTCTCTAACCCATTTCCTGGGTTACACGTGTTGAGTTAAATTTCTGGGTTATTTTTCGGATCCATACCCATTTCTTGGATTCTATTGTAACCCAATTTGGGTTTATTTTAATGGGTTATTAATTGTGGGGGGGTTTTCTGAGAATAACCCAATAATTGGGTCAGAACGTTGGGTTCGATTGACTCTACATGGTTTCTAGGCCTAATGGCAATTCAAGAAAGCTGGCGGCTGGGGTAGCTCAGCGGGTAGAGCATCCGGATTCCAACCGGGGGTCGGGTTTGATTACCGCATGAGACACATCCATAAGGATTGAACTACATCTACCAGTGTGGGTCCTTGGCCAACGCCATTAACGCTATGGCCTACCTCAGTAACATGTGCATTTCCACTGAAAGCTAAACGAACCTCAGACATGGCCCAGGTCAACAAAGTCTGTGTTACTGTGTTGCTGAGGAACCAGGGCATTGTGATGAGAAATGGGCTACTGGAACAACAAAGAGAAGTCAGTGGACATGAGATGGGAGCAGACTCCGTTGGGATGCTACTCCTCTAGTAACCCTAACCAGTTGGATCGTGGTGATTGCTGACTTCGGCCTCCATGTGCTTTGTGCTAACCAGCAGCACGTTTTTGTTTTTCTTGGGCACATAAGAAACCGTAGCAGTGGTTGACGTGACGGCAAATTTTGACAAGAACACTGCTCTTCCCTTCAGCGAGAGCAGCACAAGTGGGAGCTTGGGTTTGCATTTCAAATGGCGCCAACCATTGTCAACTTCCTTTTCAGCAGCTGCTGTCCGAGGTCATTTCTCATCACAATGCCCTTGTTCCTCAGGATGTGACGCAGACCTTGTTAACCTGGGCAACATCTGAGCTGGTCTAGCTTTCAATGGTAACGCAATCATGTTTGTGAGGTAGGCCCGTAGCCAAGGTTCTTGCCTAAGGACCCACACTGGTAGATGTAGTTCACTTCTTACAGATATGTCTCATGCAGGATTGAAGCCCCAACCCAATGCTCTACCCACTAAGCTTCCCCATTTGGGCCGTAGAAACCATGTAGAGTAGATAGATAGATAGATAGATAGATAGATAGATAGATAGATAGATAGATAGATAGATAGATAGATAGATAGATAGATAGATAGATAGATAGAGTAGATAGATAGATAGATAGATAGATAGATAGATAGATAGATAGATAGATAGATAGATAGATAGATAGATAGATAGATAGATAAGATAGATAGATAGATAGATAGATAGATAGATAGATAGATAGATAGATAGATAGATAGATAGATAGATAGATAGATAGATAGATAGATAGATAACTCCTGCACATGAAGAACAACCTGCAGTCTGGTTTTTTTTCCTGAATCCTAGAACAATGAAGTCTATTTTACTGTTGAAGTGCTTCATTATAAACTACTTCATAAATAATTTGGATTCATATTTTTGTCTGAGATTGTCTGACTCACCACTTTCTTACATGATGCCACAAAAACACTAAATGATTCATTTGGTAGAAAGTTTCAGTAAAAACAGAAATCATGCAACACTTTTCAAACCCAAAACACATTTTTACTTCAGCTCCTCCCAAAACAAATACTCTCACTTCCCAGTCCAAGATCTTTAGGGACGACTTTTACTCATTCAGGAAAATACATGCTTTTAGTCTGGAGTGAAGTCCGTGAAAAATTAATTAATAAATTAATCCGTTGAGCTGTCAAGACTGTAATTGCCAAAATCTAGAGATTAAAACAGAGTGCAGACTTTCTCAGAAGGATCTGGGACACAGCTGCGGTGACATAATGAGATGTAACGTTCAAAAAAAAAGAACAAGAAGAAGCATAAGGGCAGCTGTGGGTCACCTCATCACTCACAGATTAACAGTCTGCTGTTGTAATTCCTTTTGTCTAACCAGTCAAACTTTCATCCACTTACACGACTCAGGATCAGATCAGCTCACTAAGACAGCGACGGTTAACCAGTGGAGAGTGTTTCTGTAATAGACTTCAAACTTATGCAAAGATCAGATACAGGGCAGCTTTGAGAACGAGTGTCTCAGCAAAACAAGTCCTCATGTGGTTTACAGGACCCTCTTTTGACCTTACTGGTGCTTGTTCTGGTATTTATAGAGATTTATAGAGAGAGAGAGAAAACTTCCTTTAACAGGCAGAAACCTTGAGCAGAACCAGACTCATGTCAGAGAGTCATCTGCTGGGACTGAGCTGGGTTTAGAGAGGAGAGAGAGGGAGATGGAGAAAGAGAGAGATGGAGAGAGGTGAAGCAGCTGGAGAGCAGAGAGCAGACAGGTCAACAGCAGCGATTCAGAGGAACCTACGGCATGATGGAGCTCAGGGACTCCCCGTCTGACTGACTTGTGTATGAACTCAAGTGTTTCCACCTCATCAGATTGTCATTATCACCCTTGTGTGTTCATGTTCTCCAGGCTCACTCCAAATTTTCCACCACATATGGAACATCAGTGAAAAGGCCATCGGCGCTGATTCCTGCCAATCCCCGCTGATCGTTTCCATTCGAGTTAAAATTCCACCGGCTTCTTTCCAGCCCCCTGTGGTTTGGTGGGCTTCGTAGTCGATCGCCAGGGTTCTATTTTTTCGGGACGCCGCAGCATGCCGCACAAACTCAGCACAAATTAGCCCGTGCTGGAAAGGAAGTCAGGCACAGACACAAAATAAAACATCTGGCTTCTTTTCAAAATAAAACACTACATGTTTTAGGCAGATCGTATTTCACACCATGCAAACATGGTTTGTTTTGTAGATAAAAATAAATATTGCACTTACCCTTGGTTCATTCCCATCTCCACTAAAGTGTCTACTGGTCTGGACAGAGTGGATTTCCTCTCTGGCTGTCTTTATAGAAACAACTCGTTATTGTGTGATTGCATGTGAATTCGCAGGTTCTTGTGACTCCTCGCTATTTCTGCTGTCCGAAATTCGCCTCACAAACGCATTCGGTAGAAATTGGCAGATGGCAAAGATTGCTGCTGTTCTGCAGCGGTGCCGTTCTGACACAGTGGAAATTGGGGGTCAGTTTACCTGCCTTTGCTGACAGTCTGAACTGCCCCCTGAATTATCACAGTTTTGAACCTAATAAGTTGTTGCTCTTTGAAATAAAAGAAAACCAACGATTTAATCAAATCTGTTAATAAGGTAATGAATGAAAATGTGGCCTCTGTAAGTGTGACAAAACACCTTATCTGTTTGAAATGATCCATTATTCAGACAGTTTGGCTGCCAACACTGTGAGGAGCTGCTAGATTAAGTCCTGACGCTGACATCAGCTTAGAGGAGATTTCTTCATTTTTGCCACAGACACACACCTCAACCCTCTCCCTCTCTCTTTTTTTTTTTTACACTTTTCAAACCAAAACTGCAGATCCACTTTCTCTTGCCTCCAGAAGACCTTCAGCAGACCTTGTTGGAGGGTACAGGTGGCTGGATGAGGCAGCCATTTGCAGGAGGAGCAGATATATGGCTGAGAGAAGAGATTGTGACAAGGCCGTGACAATCTCACATTGTGCTTGTTTCTCTTGTCTCTTCTCTGCGGCTTTGGTTAGCAGTCGGAGAAAAGAGAATGGGAGGAAAACAGATCAGCTTTGTGGAGCACAGAGAGAGAACACCTACCACATAAATTATAACGACAGCACCCAGACTGACAAATGAAGCATCTCCGAGGTGTAAAAACCACAAAGATCCTGCACAAAAACCTGAATATAGGACACCGAGAAGTGGAGCATTTTTAGTCCGCTTTACTTGAAAAGAATCTCTCCAGCCCCGACTCGCACAAACACAGAGGGATAAAGGATGCGCACGATATAACCCAAGCTCCCTCTTGCCTAATTGAGGTGATGGATGAAGCGCAGTAACTTGTAACATCCAGAGTTTCATTAAAACAAAATGCAGGAATCAAGATAAAAGCACAGGGGGCCTAAATAAAAGTGGCAGCCTTGAAATTGGAGCAGATATAACACCCAGTTCTCACCGATTCCTATTAAGGACAAGCGAAGACAAACAATTCTTTCAAGTCGTTCCTCTTTGAAATGAGTTTGGGATTATCGCTGATAGATTACGTGAAGGAGGTGATTTTAGCTGCATAGATTTTGGTGGTAGAGTAGGTTTGACCAGTTATTACTGCGCCATGACCTCTTAAAATGATAACCAGAAGACTGTTCGTGCAGACTCTTGGGACAACTGCTCTCTTACATTGCTCAAATCCATTCACTTTCATTCTGTAACCACAAAACGGTCATATTTCCAAAAGTTAAACTGATGTTTAACTGGGGCTGCATCATTTGGGTCAAAAATAAAATCACAAATTTTTGATTTTGACTTTTTAGACAGCGACAACTTCACCAAACTTCACTCTAATAATAACTTTTTCTATCATCTCTCAAAACGAAACCACTGAAAACGATGTAGTTCATATGCCAAGCCAGTGAGTGGCGCTGTAACGCTGCCAAGGAAATTCGCTAAAGCCAGAAGAAGAGTACAGAGCATTCCTATAAAGTTTGTTTTGGTCGGACACGTGCAGGCGCCATAAAAGAGACAAAACCCTCTTGCATTTACCCCTGAATTTTGTTTCCAAGTGGACGGGTTGATACCGCCTCCAGACAGACTTTGCAGCGGGGAGTGGTTTCCTCTTTATCCAAAACTCTGAAGCCGTACCAATTCCACATGACTGACTTGCTCTTGCGTTTTTTAAGCCACGAAATTATCGCCTTCTTTTGCAAACGCCATGTTTGTTTACACTGGTGTGTGTGGGAACTGGAGGCACGAGACATGATAGAGAGGAAAATCGATCTGAGGATTTTAATTTTTTTAACATCGTCATAATTAAATAACCTGAATACGATTGAAAATCAATTAATCGTGCAGCCCAATGTTCAAGCATTGGTTTTCAATCGCCAATACTGAAAGAGCAGGTCAGCTGATTGCAGATATAACCCCACTGTTCTATGCAAATTATAACCTGATATACAGACTTATCTAAGCTGGTGACACAGTGGAAAAATCCACCAGGTTATGATACAGATTTAAGAATATGGAAAATAACTACTGTAAAGTCAAGATACTGTCATTCAGGATGGGAAAAACAATGAAACAATAATGGCGCCATTTTAGATGCTAAGCTCTCAGTGATTGGCCAGTTTTCTCGGCCAACTGCTGAATCAGTCTGTGTCTTATATGTACCAATAGTTCCACTTTAAAAAGGTTTACAATGAGCAAAAAGTTCAATTAAACTCTTATTCAAAAGTGAAGCCTTCAACAGTTTGGGTCCATGCGTCTTGGTAGACGGTGATTTTGAGAGCGTTGGAAACAGCACACTTTAACAAGCCAAAGAAGAAGCACCTCACTCTTCTCTTTCATTCTTCCTGACAACCAGCAGAGGCAAAACTACTTTCCATTTTTCTCAGTTAATTTGGATTTAAATTTAGTTTTGGTGAAAAACGCCCAAAGACATTTTTGCCCCTTTAAAGTTTTGGCTCAGTTTTAGTCAGTTAAAATGTAATAATTTAGTTTAGTCTAGTTATAATGAGAACTACTCATTACTGTGGGTCAAAACTTTTTTATTTTTTGGGGAATTTTTTGCTTTTAATTGAAAAGGACAGTGAGAGGGGATGACATGAAGCAAACGGTTGGTGTCCAGCCTCGAAACCACGAGTAATGCGAGGACTATAGCCTCTGTAAGTGGGGCGCACTAATGCACGAGGCTATCCGCACTTCCTGTTAAAACTTTGTTTTAATGAGTAAAACCTGCATTTTGGAAAATATGCATGGACGTCCAGATCTGTGGATACCAAAGTAAGATCATGGTTGTTCATATTTTCTCATTTTGGAGCCTTGCACAGCACACAGGGGGTTTCAGAGTTGGTCAACATCCAGCTGGAAGGTCAGGGGTTCAATCCCAGGCCCTCGCTTGCTTCTCCCATTGTGGTGTGAATGGGTGAAGATGATATAAAAGCACTTTGAAGGGTGTGAAGACTTGAGGACACACTTCATAAACACAGTCCATTTACCGTTTACCAAACCTGTTGTGTCAACGGTTCACAGATCAGATTTTCCCCTCATGAGATCATGTTTCTTTCTAATCCTGCAACAACAAGGACGGACTGTGCCGAGACCTTAACTGACCTGGCTGTTGGTACGATACGATATGTTGGTATGTGAACAACAGTGCACTTCTCAGATATCAGGTTATCAGCCCATCTTAAAAATCAGACATACCTTTGTGGAAAGATAAACTTAGACGACACAGTGCGGCTTTGTTTCCTCATGTCGATGTACAAGTTTAGGCAGAGCATGACCAAAATACAGTGTGTGGTATTTGCACTGAGAGGGTGGATATTTACAGCATCATTGCAACATGCAACAAGAGCACAAAGCCCATCAGAGTAATAAAACCCCTAAATCCTGAACTGATTGCATGGTTGGGTGTCTGGACGGGAAGCATAAATGTGGCTTAAATCCTCCGGGCTCATTGAGAAATAAGGTCAGAGTACACATACAAATCCCAGCTGGTATTAAAAGTATTTGTCTTTCCTGGTTCATCATCCCTCCCTGTCTCATTACGAGAAGCTGTCACACAAAGGTGCACAAACACACCCACTAATATCCTCCTGTCACTCCTGTAGTAAAGCCGTGTGGGGATTTATCACTGACGAGAAGTCCCCGGAAAGCGGGGCAGCAGCGGGAGGAGGAAGAGGAGGAGGAGGAGGAAGGGGAGAAGCTCTCAGGTTGGAGATCTTTAGAGCTCTTAAATGAAAACTAAAGTACGTGAATTTTTGTCCATCGGAGCCAGCTGATACTCCTTGGTTTTATAAATGTTGACTGATGTTTGTTTTGTTTTTCTATCTCTGCCTTAAAATAGTTTCTTTCAGGGAACAAAAGTGAACCTGAACACCAGCTGCCTCATGGATAAATTTAGAGCTACAGTAGGGATCCATTCATCCACAGTACAGTGTTTTCATCAGATAGTCAAAACAGAGTTATCATCGACCTCATCATCGATGACGCAGACAGACAGGGTCATCCTCCAGCTCTTATGACGAGTTTATTTGTTTGTTAAAATGATGGGAAGATAAATGAATGACTTCAACTCCACAGAGATTTAACTATTAGAGTTGATCGGTGAGTTCATCTTTAACTCATGGAGAGGAAAGAGGATGTGAGACCAGACTGTTGCTATGCATGGCAGGCCGTTGCTAGGGATGCAGCTCAAATGGCACTTGTGAAATAGTGTCATTAGGTTGTTCAAGGTTCAACAAGGACACCATTGACCTCCTATACTGAAAAAAAAATCATTTCTTTGAGCTGAAACGCCAAATTCAGATTTCTTATCTGACTGTTTACTGTAGAAAAAAGTAGTGATGCACGATATGAAAAATTTCAACCGATACCGATAACCGATAATTTTCTTCTTCTCATGGCCGATACCGATACCGATAACCGATAAATTCATATTTTTACATTTATTATAATCTTCATATAATCTGCAGTTTGTGCAGGATGCAGTGATTGAAAACTGATATTTCTGTTGCTCTGGCCTATCTAGAACAACAAACTAAAGTTTTTGGTTCTTCAAATGTGGTCATTTGCTATAAATAACAATAACAGAGCAAAAAGCAGAACTTCATTTGATCCCCTGAACTGTTCAACAGAACTGTAAACTGTAAAGGAGCTATTATGAGACGTTAGCATTAGCATGCTGACCGGACTAACATCTGACGTCCATATGTCTGTGGTAAAACTCACGTGTAGTCCGTTCTTGTCGATCAGGTTGTGAATGTATGTGGCGACAATATCATAGAGTGCAGGAAGAGACACATCCGAGAA